TGTTGATGAATAAAAGGATATGGATTTCACTACAGTTTAGACTTTAAACCAAATTAAATAGGATTTTTGCATAGCTTAGGATCGAATTGATATGATTGGAATCCGTGGATTTCGGCATTCGTTTTCAAATGGAACCAATACCTATTTAAAATACCAACCTCTCATTCAGGGACAAACCGCCTTTTGTTTAAATCACAAGGCGACTTCCATTCCAAACTCAATTCAAATTTGACAGCAATAGAACCTGTCAACTCAGTATAATGCCAACTGAACAACCGTAAAATGTTTGCATTATCTGTGAACAATGGGATTTATGGAACTGTCAACTATTCATAGATTAGTTTCGGGGCGATGGCGCTAGTGTCGAATTAGGTCATCAAAGGTGACCGGTTCAAGGTTACGAGTGACGGCTAATAGTTATGTTGTGCGCTTGTCGCCTAGAAACAGACAAAGAAATATTAATTTGGATCGATATCATGTCCAATAAATTATATTATATAATGGCATTGTATTATGTCAATTTATGTCATGCATTCTCTTTGAAACACGACAATATTTATATTAATGTCGGTCAGCAGTCTAGATAAAGTATTTGTTGCTTTATAAATACCAAAATCAAGAATTTGCTGACATTTTTCTCTGTAGATGTTGCTTTTCATAAAATGCATAGTTTATCCAGTCTCCTACTAATCAAGATTTTATAGACAAGTCTATCTAATGCCTAACATACCTTTCATTCCAACCTGATACCTTGTCGGTACCTTTAAAACCTGTAGACCTGAGTTTCTCACGATATAAAACAAAGAATTTCATAGTATCTGCCATTTTTTTCTTCTTGTAAGGACATCGGTATGTCCTGAATGACTCAGGTACAGAATATTCTATAGAATTTTAATTCTGTTCGTCGTGGGTGTCGGTGAGTCAGTCCGTTTAGTTAAAAAGATTATTGTAAGGATGCGTGATGATTTTTTGAGAAAATATTTACTTTTTGAATTAGCATAGCCGCACTCGTTACAAATAGATTTGGTTGCGTGTGTGGTCTCCAGTTCTGAGTGTTTAAATAGATGTTTAGTGGTCTACGCATGTTCTGTTTTGTTTTTTGAGCTGAAGTGCGTAGTCTACGGAAATGAAATAATGCTCACATCATAATAGTAGGATTACAGTTTCATTCCAAGTAAGATAATCTTGTAAACGTATTTAGAATTATTTGTTATGATTACTACAGTCAGCAGTGTATAAAAATTTCTCGAGTAACATTTTTTTTCTATCAATTTAGTTTAGAGCTAAGTTAATAAGTTATAATATCTTCTTTTGTTCAATAAAATCGTTGCTTGCTTCTTGCACCTACCATTTCCTCTTCTCTGCATCACCCAAAGGTGAGAATGGGAGAATATTACTGCGGCATTAAGTCCTCCTATTTTAGTTATTTAGATAAATAACATAAATGACTAAATATCTTTCTATCATGCTTAGGAATAGAGAATGTGAGTAAAACCACAAGACATAGCTAGTAATAACAGCAGGTCTGCCGAGGAACAAGGTGTAATTAGTGGCTCACGTAATGAACGATATGGTCGTTACTGGTGTAATGACGAAAAACCTCTGACTCATGTCTGCCCGCCTAGTATTTTACTTAAGATGTTTAAGGAGATGATAATACCGTTTCTATGTAATTATTATGTGTAATTTTAACCGCATCATAATCAACAGCCTATAAACTGCCAGCCTACTGCTGAGCAAAGCCTCTGCTCACATGGAGAAGGTTTGAGCATTATTACTGCACGGTTGGTGCGGTGGCTGGGCAACCGGCTGCCGTGCAACGTGTCGAGGGTTCGATTCCCGCACGGAACAAAGTTGTGCGGGAATCGAAACGTGGGGCAAAGTTTTAAAAAAAAACGAAATACCTACAAATCTAATTCAGAACATCTTTGCGTTTGTCTTTTGTTATAAATTTTAAAAAGAGCAGTATCTTTACCTATTGTACGTATAGAGTCGCCACCTATAGGCTGTTGTTGATGACAAATGATCTATTCATCTAAAACGCCAACTTTAACTTATATAACACTTGCTTAATTTGTTAAGCAACACTCAATTTAAATCAGATGTCAATCAAAATAGACACGTTCAATAATATCTATCGCTTCTCTAATACCCAATACAGGATGCCATGTCTCAAGGAAGAGAATCACTTGATCATTGATTATACTCAGCGGATATTGCCCGTTAAGAGGCCGAAGTTCACTGGCACACCAGTATGTATATAGAAATGATAAGACCGATGCATTTAAGTTTGGGAGAGCCATGCTTGGGCACTCGACCGGAGTGATACCACGATTTTACAGAAAACCGACGTGATACGACTTAAGCGTTGTGATTCGTCATGTAAGATTACCGGGGCCTTCCAAATCAATAATTATTGTAGAAGTATTACGTAAGCGTACATAGACTTTATGAATGTACAACAACCCGGCCACGGTAACCATCAGGTGGATCGTGTGCCGCTTTTTGCCGACGGTGGCATAAAAAATAACTTCTTTATTTTTTTATTACACACTCCAGATTGAAACGGCATAGTGTCCCTACACTTACCGTGAGACTTGGTGATACCAGGTGAAAGGGATTCACAAGGAATTTCTTCTGCTGTTGACAAGTTAGAAATCAAGACAGCCATTCAGATGGAATGGCTTATTGTGTTGTCACAGATTGCCAAGTTGCAGAAAACAAAAAAAAAAAAAATATTCGACTTTATTCGATGTTCACTTATTTTCATTGATAGTATTTCTTTCAAAAATATTTCCGTGAGATAGTTATCAGGCATCCCCGTCTGGATTATGTCATTAAGGGAAAAGCTTCGTCTACAAAGCTTTTAAAGTTATTAAAGGAATATTTTTGTTGGGGTCCATTGCAAACACGCGATGCCTTTGATTTTGTTATTATTCAACGTTTGTTTGTGAATAGTTAAATAACAAGTTTTCCGATTTTTTTTATGGGATAAGCCGGTAAATGAGCTGACGGATCACCTGGTGGTAAGCAATCGGCGTCGCTCATGGATACTCGGTACACAAGAGGCGTTACAAGTGTGTTACCGGCCTTTAGGAGATTAGGAATTTGAGAGTTGTTGGAGATTCAAGGAATGGGAAGATTGGAAAGGAAAATAAGCCTCGGGTAAACGGGATGGCAGTTAAAACTGGCGTTTTACTGAATGACTGAACTTATCAGAAATTTTATTTGAATAAAAACTGATTGAACACACAGGTACAGAGTAAAAAGAAATCTACAAATATATCATTAGATCTTGCGGGGGTGCGGGAATCTTACCTTTGTAAAGTACAGCTGCCAACTGTATGTAACCACCACCTGTAAACCAGCACCTGTAAACTCTGTTCAACCTAGAAATCGAACCCGAAACCCACCACCAAGCAGCAATTCAATTTCTATAGAAAAAGTCCATTTCATTCACTACCCACTCATTACAAATGAGGAAATCAATTCCTTAGATATATCCAAAGACACCAGCACATAAAGCTACCCCAACAGACGCATCAGATTTTCATCTTTAGAACAAAACTAGAACGTTTAAAATTGTATAAAGAAGTTTGTCTCTATGGGGGAGCTTGACCTGCTGGCGTTCGTAATGGAGGACTATAATGACGGTGTTAGGGCAGCCATGGTATCCCGCTGAGCATGATTTACATCACAAAAGATAGTAGCAGACACGATTACACCTGAAGCTATACAACACCAGTATAAGCTGACCGTCGAATATGCAGGAAGATCACACAATGCGAGACCACGATATACGTGTCATGGGCCGATATGTAGCCATGGTCTTTGGCCCTATTGTCAAACCCCATAAGATTACCGTAATAAAATATCTATTAACTTCGTTAGATTGTTTTTTATGGGACTGATAAGAAAGGATATGGTGCGCTTGTTTTTTTATAGGTTTTTGAAATACTGTTTTTTGTTTTGATTTGGTAATACTCACTAAACTAAAGGGCCAGTAGAATACCAGCGCTAGGCCCTATCTTGCACATGCTAGGCTGGTCCCATTTCACGGCGGACTTGGGATTTCTTTTAAGGGGGAACATCATCGAATTAATGATTCGATGATGCGATAATTCTTACGCTTGGGTGAGGCGGGAGGTAGTGTCAGACTCTTACTGACTAAAAACCACCCCGTTCCTACTTCTGCCCTTCGAGCCGGAGCTTCGGCAAGCCGTTAAGTCCTCCGCGGCTCCGTATTGGTATCGGCCCCATCGATGGTGGGCTGATGGCTCTTTGAGGCATGCGCGGAACACGACGCACCGTACGCTCGGATCTGGTTCTGGTCAGGCGGCCGACTTGGGATATCAGTACCTACTAATGGAACAATACATCTGTACATGTGACTTGTTTTTTAGCGTAAAATAAAGTCTTTATTTCTCTTCTTCATTCTAAACTTGTACTCATTTTAGGATTAAACAATTGTCAGTGTCACAGAGGTAACTGTTAACTAGAGCATTTTTCTTATTGATTTTTATTAACGCCTTTAAATATCTCAGGTTTGTTAATACCTGATGAAATCTTATAGCTATATTTTAAAGTATTTAAATCTGGTATTAACACGTATTCAATTTTTAGCCTATAGTCGTATTCACAACACACTATTGAAAGATTTCGCCGGCTCCTATATAAAACATTCACCCACATCATAAATTAATGCTAATAAATTTTATGGTGTTGTAAAATAAATTGCATTAGGTACCGGTTAATTTTTATTGAAGACTTATTGAAATTATGTACCATAAATTCTTATTCATAAAAGCTGTAATACTGCATTAATTCTCTTTGCCCCATATCAAAAATTTCCAATCCATTAAGATCTGAGAACGCTTAAACACCCACACAGAACTTTCTACCTTGCAACTTAATACTTAAAGTCAAGAATTGAATAACACTCTGCCCTCAATGTGAAAACCAGTAGCGTTTTACTTAAGATATCGTATCGTTTGTTACAGGTAGCACAACAGACCTCACACCCACGCTTATTGGTATCTACGACTCTTTATTGGAACCTGGGAAGAGTTTAAGACCAGAAGCTAGTCGACTGGAAACCGCAAAAGATGCTAGAAATGATCCTCCAGTAGACACAGTGTACGAAGAAATAGAAATTAAGGAGGAGACGAAGACTGGAGACGATACAATGATCACAGGAGGGGTCAAACTCCCCGTAGCCACGTATAACAAAAGCTCCTTATATTCAATACGAACTAAAAGTGATAACAACGGTGCTAGTGACGATGTGGACAAGTGTAAAGTGTTAAACGAATCTTCATTAAGTAAAATACAAAAAACATTTAAAGAAATGAAACAAGAGACCACGTTCGATAATCTCTCGCCAAACGTGAAACGCATGATATCAGGTGCAACGGAAACTACAACGTTAAAATTCCAAAAGAAAACAGTGAATGTTGGCAGGTCTTCCATGAGACACAAGTCTAACATTCCATTAGTTGGAGCGACATCTAAAATCTCTCAATCCGGTGTCGAAATACTTCCTTCAGTAGACATTTATGACCAGCCGTGCGCCATTAAAAACTTTACTAAATCAAAAAGTGAGGAAATCGAATCTCCCGTCATAACAACGCCATTAAAACCCGAATTCAAAATTGATGATGCTCAAACTTACGACGTCCCCACAAATAATAGGCCAGCTATATACGACGTTCCTGTGGTGAACAATAAAACTGCTTTCGAATCGTTATCTCTGCCTTATATCGATCAATCGATCGAGCTCTCTATAACATCTAACGATAGAGAATTCGATATCAAACTATCATCAAAGGACAACTCTCCGATGAAGCCAATGCCAAGAAGTCCTGTACAATCACCAGCGAAGATACCCAAGCTGAACGAAGGCACTAACAGTTTGCATCGCAAAGACTTCGTGAATAAGAACGAGAGTCCGTCGAAACTTTTGTCGAAAACTGTACCTTACCCTGACGCTGTAGGGTCTACCGGGAATCTGAAGACTTGTGAAAAAGAGGTGGTAAGATTGAATCCTCCGGTGGAAGTTTCTCGACCTCTTTCGATGAGCTCCATTGCGTCTTCGAGTTCTACGTCAAGTAGTGGAGTGCAGAATAAAGGAGGAGTGAACTCAGCGTACTTGGCTTCCATCGAGAGCTTGGATGACCACAGTGACGCGGACATGACCTCGGCAAATGGTAGCAACAACTTCGTGAACAACGCGGGGATCTTGACTACCAGTGTGTCGGAGGAGAGGAACTCGGAAAGTACACCACGTAAGTTGAATACTATAATTTGTACTTAGTCCAAACAATCATAGTTCTTACTTAAAAGTTGGATAGGTATTCTCCTCGGAATGAATTGTGATCCTTTTAATGTTCGTTATGTCACTACACCCAGGTCTCAGCTAAATTGGTAGCGAAATACATCGGGACTAATTACTAATTTCTGCAGCACCTTCCATTCCATGTAAGCACCTAGTAGATACCTAATGGTGGATATAAGAATAAATAAATAAATAAAAACTAAAAAGAAAAAATAAATAAAAAAGCCTTTCTTACAAAAAATACGAAAAATAAACTTATTTCTAATTTTATACATCTATTCCTAATCTGTAATTCCAAAATTAACTATTTTATCTGCTTTTAATGTAAGAACCGCTCGTTGTCGAAGGTGAAGGCCTCCTCTAGAGATTTCCATTTATCCCTGTTCTTCGCCGTCTCCATCCACATTCACTTACTAATACATATCTTTATTATGTCCAGGTGTTCAGTTGGTAGACGAGTTGGCAGGTCTGTCGCAACTGGAGCGAGTGTGCGCCGAGATTGTGCAGACTGAGAACGTGTATGTCGAGGACCTGAGACAAGTCGTTGAGGTGAGTACTCTATACATTGAAGATTTCTTTTGTAATGGTATTGGAAGTGATAAAATCTATTGTAGTTTTTGCTAAGGAACTCGTGAAAAACGAGTTTGACGATGACGTTACATGATGAGAATTAACACAAATGTTATTTTGTCTGTTAGTTTGACAAAGAAAATAGATATTTTTATTTCATTGTTGCCATTATTCATTTATTCAAATAAAAAACTTAAAATAAAAACTAACTATTACTTAAAAAAAATTAAAACTAAATATTACTAAATTAAATATAGGTATACAACTTAAGATTAAAATTAATTATAAGAAAAAACAAAAACAACTATTTACATAAAGCGTCGAAAAATTCGTCCGCATCGACGTCAGTGGGGAAAGTACCCAGAAGGCTGGCAGCATTGCCACGTTGTATGGCAATGCTTAACTTCTGGCCGAGAAAAAGACCAGCCTTCTGGTTGTTGCCTATATAATTAGCCTTATTTAACGAAAATATATTTTCTAAACCCATTTCACTCGCAGCTAACCTTTACTGATCAACACTTTAACCAATTATTTCAACTAAATGACCAGTTTTAGTGTAAGAAAAACAAAATTAATTATAATTATTATGTTCTTTAAACACCGAAATCTTTATAAATTATCATTTAAAATTGCAATCTAGTTTACGTTGACACAACTTCCTCCATCTTTGAAATATTAGTTGTGCTCTCGTTTGTCTGCAGTTAAATTAGTTGAACTTTACTTTGGAGTTACGCAAAGACTTCGAAAGCCAACACGTCTGTTAAAATATTTAGTTTCAACTGACGGTAATGTAATGGCGTGACAAAGTTGTTTATGATTGATATTGATGTCATGGGAATCCTTTTTTGTTTTGATTTTATTGTTAATTAGCTTCTGCCCGCGACTTTGTACGCGCAATCCTTTTTTCTCCCGTTCCTGTAGGATTTTCACGATTTTTTCTCATCTTCATCATAAGAACCTTCTCTTGACAATAACAAACACAACAAAAAAAAAATCAGCCAAATCGGTCTAGCCGTTATCAAGTTATGGCGTGATAACGGGAAACGGGTTTAATTTTTTTATATCTAATAGCATATAAGATTTATTTTATTATTTCAATCGAATGGTGTAAATATAAGTGAACTTGTTATTGTTATATCAATTGGTTTTGTGTTAATAGCTCTAATTGTATGTAATAATTATATTAATTACCCTCCAGGCCCAATAACCCCTCCCCTTCCCCATTCTCCGCAATTCCTGAATCCCCAACGATTCTCAAACTCCTAATCCCCAAAAGGCCGGTAACGCACTTGTAACGCCGCTGGTGTTCCAGGTGTCCATGGGCGACGCCGATTGCTTACCATCAGGTGATCCGTCTAGTCGGTTACCGGCTTATGCCATAAAAAAATTTAGGTTCGAAAGTTATCATAGACTTTGTTACCTGAGCTAACTTCGAATGTAACTTTTATTTTTCAACGATTTTCGATTTCAGCTCAGCCTCTGAGCTCGGTATTTTCCTACTTAAAAGAAACGGATTTTTGACCAGAATTATGTGTTATTTAGTTACTTTACAGTTGCTAAATATCAATCTATTCAAGATAGTGGATCAGTTAACTAAGTCACCTAGGATTAGTTTTTACCGACTTCAATAAAAGGAGGAGGTACTATGTTCGACTGATTGTTTTTTTTTTCTACGGTCCAACATTTCTTTTAAACATTCTTTTCCCAGCCCATGTCCTAAGTACCTAAGTAATATGCATGTTCCGCAGGTGCTTGCTTAGTTTCTTTAAGTTCTGTTATCGATGTTTGTAATAGGGTCAGCTGGGATCTGAGCCCAATGACCTGCGGTGACCCACTTAGTTACCAGTTCAAACTAGATTACTTACGTACAGGTAGCTTGCATAACTTGTGGTTTTAATTACAGTTTCTATGTTTATTTTACGTTTTTGTTATCATGACTATCGACTGATATTTAAAACCAATCTATAAAGTTTATAGATTTTAGGTACATGCTCTTAAATGACATACTTATGTCGGAATACTGAAACGCTACTCAATTTTAAGCCGTGCTTAAGTATAGTTCTATCTCTACAAATTCTTTGTAAAATGACAGAGATGGCACGATATTTGAGCACGACTTAAAATTGAGTAGGTAACGTTTAAGTATTCCGGCATTAGAAGCGTTCTATTGAGCGTGCTTAAAAATGTTCAATACTCGAGTGCCTGTCGATTCGCAAGCATGCCTGAAATGATTATGCTAATTTCGAGGAACATTCCGACACACATTGAAGCATGCTTTTGTGCTTGGAATTAGCATGTGTATTAAATAAGTACCTTGAGATCAATTTTTGACATTAGTAAGTTGTCGGTATCGCGTTTCTGTCAAAATACGAGACCGATCCAGTAATTTTGGATTAGTTGATTGTCCGTTACAAAATAATGTTGCTTGAACTTAGATTCGCTATATTCAGAATAACAAAAGACAATTTGTAATTAATTTAAAAATGACATTAATGAATTTACCGGCGAATGTAAAGCGGCTCATGTTTTCTAGCGAACTAATGGCGTCCCATGCGCTTGACCTACGCTGTTATTGGTCACGACTATTTGTTTTTTTATTTATAGGTAACTATTAAACACAGTACTTACCTATATTACATGATACCCGAGCGTACGGCTAGTCGCGGTTCTCGCGCGCCTTAAAGAGCCATCAGACCACTACGGATCCCGCCCAATAGGGCTGATGCCGATTCGGAGTCGCGGAGTACCTAACGGGTTACCGGGGCTCCGGCTCGAAATGCAGGAGTAGGAACGGGGTGGTTTTTAGTCAGTAAGAGTCTGATACTCCCTTCCGCCTCACCCAGGCGGGAGCAGTCATTCGATGATTTTCCCCCCTTTCTCGCACAGGCGGAGTTTCCCCCGACTTTGAGGGTTTTAAACACGTTTCTATCCATTACACTCTATAAAATACTTATATTTTAATGCTTTAGTTAAAAAATTACGAAATCATTAAACAGACGAACTTTCATTGATCTTAAAGCGCTCATTATTTCACAAATTACGACATAAATCATCTTAAAGTCTTCAATTAATGTCTCTCAATATTATGACTATCGATTTTGCACTCAATCTATCTTATCGACTATCATTATTGCACTAATAAATAACATTAATTGGCTGTGCAGCCTAATTTCACTGCTTGCCGCGTACCAAAACCAATATGGCGAGCCGGAAGCTGTCAAAAGTGACAGGTGTCAAATTGTCGCTGTCAAAGTGCCATCGCTAATTAGCCGACAGGTTGCCAACATGGACGGGTTGAAAATGGCGGTAAAAGTGACAGTGAGGTATTTTCGGAATGACTTTGTTGTGGTCTCGATTTTACTGACCCGTGTTAGAGGAGAAAGAAAACTGCTGCCTATAATTACATATTATGTAAATAAAATCATGCTAGTGAACATTTCTAGGCATATTAAAAGTATGCGGCAAATAAAGTGTTTTATGTTTTACTAAAAGGATAACTTCAATAATTTGGTGAAGTCTTTTAAGTTCGAAAGTTAACTCCTTTACCCTTTACCGTCTTTACCAAACCTTCTTTAATTATATTATAACTTTTGTGAGACATAGTAAATTAATTATTATATTGGCAGCTTACACGTCATGAATAATTATGAATGAAAGCCTCTAGCATGGCTTGAAATAAGTCGAGTTCCTCGTCAAATAACTACGTGAGTAAGCCGAAAACATAATAAAGAACAAAACTTCTTCTTAAAATGCTTTATAGAAATATCAACGTTTTAAGCCTTACATACAAACTGTAAACTCAGTTTACCCTTAGTAACTGAACCATGTTCTACAATTCTGATTAGAGCGGGTCGCGTGAGCACGACTTAACAAATGACAGTTGTATACTAATACATAGACACTTACAAATAAATAAATAATGAAATAACAATTCACTGCAACAACTACAAGCCAGCCAATTATAAGTAAAACGATTATTCACAATTAGTTAACCATGTGCTTAGTTAATTAAATTCTTGGTAATGGTACTGAATCGTACTGCGGTCAGTAGATCAAAGTACTCCAAATTGTCAAGTTTATTCATTGTATTTTCGACTTTATTTCAATGTAATAAAGTTGAAGATGTAGTAGAGAAATTTGTCAGAAAAGGATAGGTTGACTTGCCGGCCACCGTACTTGATGTAAGAACATGGGAGTCTTAACATAACAAGGGCAAAATAGGTGTTTGTAAGTATGTGCATATTTTATGGTGTATCTCTGCCTACCCCGTCTGGGATTAAAAGGTGTAATGTTATGTAAATAGTAGAATTGATAGAATGAGTCTACCTACAGTTTGAATGTTTTTAAAAATTGAGTACAAATTGATTTTATTCTCACGCTTTCATCTCTATCGTAGGCGGACCATAAAACTAAAAGCTTAATTTTATTTCAAACACCGTTTAACTTGCACGCCTAATAAATAATTCATGAATTTATAGTGCTATGCCAAATTATTATTTTTTCGCCAAATAGAACTGTCGAAACAATAATGACAGATGTCAAACTGACATTGACAGATCTGTGTGGATGTCAAAAGTGACAATTATTTATTTGGAATTGATGCTAATGATAGAGGTACCGCTAAGGATTAAAAGACATAACTGTTGTTTTTTGCAAACAATTAATTTAATCATTCAATAGTGTTTCTATAAGAGGTTTAAAAAGATAGACCGAAAAAAATAACGACTTACGGTAAAAATACCGCCAACTTTCCTAGTGGAACCAGCTGCAGACAGATTGACAGAGCAATTGATCTTAGTCAGCGAACCTAACCAAATTGTCTAGACCTCAAAGTAATTCCTATCCCTGTTTTCAAAGACCCATTTTCTAATAACAAAACGGAACGCGGTAGCTCAACTTACACTGGTCCAGTAGATCTTAGGGAAGGGTTTATAAAGTGAAGTAAATTAAGCTTTATCATATGTAGATAAGGTTGAGAT